TAAGATAGAATAGCTTATTTCAAAAACAGCGAAATGTCTATATTTGACCGTTAGAATTGGAAATATCTTTGTGGAACCTGAATTGTATAATAAAGTTAATAATAAAACTTTTAAGAGAAAATAAATTTATCTTTTTAAAAAATGAATATTTTACAGGTAAGATAATTATTAGCTGAATTCTCATGGGTTGTGTTACAATTCCCCACTCCACCCCAGTAATATGAAATAAGATATTCTGGCTCAAATCCTCTTGTGCAGTTACACTTCTGGCAAATTGTTGTAAGTTAAGAAATCTCTGAATATTTTACAGGTAAGATAATTATTAGCTGAATTTTTATGGGTTGTGTTATTTTTTTTTACCAGCCAATTCCCCACTCCACCCCAGTAATATGAAATAAGATATTCTGGCTCAAATCCTCTTGTGCAGTTACACTTCTGGCAAATTGTTGTAAGTTAAGAAATCTCCGTAGACCTTATCAATTTGCACGCCAAGTCACACAACTCAATATGGAACAGATATTGTCTACAAAGATTTATTAACATGACAGTTGCATATAAAATTATACAATTTGCATAATGATGCAACAGGATTTCAGCCTCTGTAAATAAACTAAGGTGTAGGTGATATTTTGAATGCTTATCAATTGCATGCCAAGTCACACAACTCAATATGGAACAGATATTGTCTACAAAGATTTATTAACATGACAGTTGCATATAAAATTATACAATTTGCATAATGGTGCAACAGGTTTTCAGCCTCTGTAAATAAACTAAGGTGTAGGTGATATTTTGAATGGCATCTCCAGTCATTTTTGACCAAGGACTACACTAGCTGTGGCTAATGTGAGCTGTAGTCAAAACATCTGCATATAATCTGGCTGGAGAAGATTGATTAGGTCGTTAATGTTAATGTTTGTGGGATATATATTAAGCACACAGATATTAAATGCATAAATAAATCTGTTTTGTGCATATGTTTTAAAGTGATTTACAGTAAAAACTTTATCCAGGTTGAGTAGTATGTTAGTGTGTTTTAGTGGGAGGGGGGAAAAAGGCTTGTGGCACCCTGAAGACTACCATACACTGATCAGCAGCAAAATTAAAAGCACTGACAAGTGAAGTGAGCAGCACTGATTATATCGTTACAGTGGCACATGTCAAAGGGTGGGACATATTAGGCAGCAAGTGAACAGTCCGTTCTTAAATGTCATTTGTTGGAAGCAGGAAATATGGGCAGGTGAGAAGTCCTGAGTGACTCATTAAAAGCACTGACAAGTGAAGTGAGTAGCACTGATTATATCATTACAGTGGCACATGTCAAGGGGTGGGATATATTAGGCAGCAAGTGAACAGTCTGTTCTTAAATGTCATTTGTTGGAAGCAGGAAATATGGGCAGGTGAGAAGTCCTGAGTGACTCTGACAAGGGCCAAATACCATTGGCTAGAGTACTGGGTCAGAGCATCTCCAAAACAACAAGTCTTGTGGTGCGTTCCCAGTATGGAGTGGTTAAAATATAAAGGTTCTTCTTGAGAATTTTTGTCCAGTCGTGTTCGACTCTAGGGGGCGGTGCTCATCCCCATTTCCAAGCCATAGAGCCAGTGTTTGTCCGAAGACAATCTTCCGTGGTCACATGGCCAGTGCGACTTAGACACGGAACGCTGTTACCTTCCCACCGAGGTGGTCCCTATTTATCTACTCGCATTTGCATTTCGAACTGCTAGGTTGGCGGTTGCTGGGACAAGTGAAGGGAGATCACTCCATCACGTGGATTCAGTCTTACAGCTGAAGATCTACAGACCTTACAGCACAGAGGCTTCTGTGGTTTAACCCGCAGCGCCACCACGTCCCTTTAGTACTTACCAAAAGTTGTGCATAAAAGGACAGCTGGTGAACTGGCTGGCATCAGGGTTGCGAGTGCCCAAGGCTCATTGATGCATGGGGATAGCTAGCCCATCTGGTACGATCACATTGAAGAGCTACTGTAACTCAGATTTCTGAAAAACGTAATGGTGGCCATGATAGAAAGGCGCCAGTATACATAGTGCATTGCAGTTCTCTGTGTATGAGCTGCATAGTCCACAGACTGCTCAGGGTGTGTTACCCCAAAGGGCTACTGTTCTTTATATCCTGGGGAGAGGGACCATGAGCAGAGAGGGAGCACAGCCAGACTATTTACAAGAAGACCATATGCCAAAAATTTTGGGTTAAGCACTATTCATGTGTCAAAAATTTTGGGTTAAGCACTATTCATGTAACATTTATTGATAAAGATATAAGGCAAATGATATCAAGGGGACTCTCTTTCATTCTTCCCATTCACTCAGATACTCACTCATCCAAAGACACTTCCCTGACAGGTGATCAGTCTCTTAGCAAGCATTGTGGGGGATATTGTTGCAGCACTGGTCGAAGCCCACCATCTCTTCCTGAGTCATCTGTTTTATAGGCATAGAACTCCCTTGTTGGGCAAGCAGGGGGTCAGGACTCTGATTTCCTGGGCAGATACAATCATGCAGGAATGCTTCCTTTCACATGTACAGTTTGTTCCATCTGCCACAGACTTGACTTCAGCTAGCCTGCTTCCCCTTTCTTGTCTGGACAACTGGTTATAGCCAGCCTTCTTCCTTTTTCTATCTGAACAAATAAGTCCACATTTTAGAATGTTCTTTCCACGTCTGTGGTTTCTTGCTGATATTGAAACTTCTGTGTCTTGCAGCCATCTGCAGATTTGTATCAGGCACACTATCCCATCTCTCCTTGCAATTCTCTATCTTCTTTTCAGGCCTGCGGTGCTGAGCTTTCTGGAACCCTCCCCCCTCTCTGTCACTCATAACAGGTGCCCATGATGACCCCTGTCCACTACTGAAAGCACCTACAATGGGGACGTAAGCACCAGGACTGGACCACAGAGCAATGGAAGAAGGTTGCCTAGTCTGATGAATCACGTTTTTTTAAGATCAGGTGGATGGCCGTGTGTGTGTGTGTCATTTACCTGGGGAAGAGATGGCAGTAGGATGCACTATGGGAAAAAGGCAGACTGGTGGAGGCAGTTTTATGCTCTGGGCAATGTTCTGCTGGGAAACCTTGGCTGCTAGCATTCATGTGGATGTTATTTTGACATGTACCACCTACCTCAGAGATTGTTGCAGACCATGTACAGTGGACCCTCTACTTACGGAATGAATCCGTATTGGAACGGTGGCTGCAAGTCGAAAAGTCTGTAGGTCGAATCTCCATTGACCTACAATGCATTGAAAAATGATTAATCCCATAACTGGCAGTTTTTATTCTATTTTTGTTCCATTTTGGTTTTTTTCTGGTCTGTAAGTCGATTCTCCAGCTGCAAGTTGAATCTAAATTTTGCAGCCAGAGAAGTCTGTAACTCCAAAAGAATGTAAGTCAAGCTGTCTGTAAGTCGAGGGTCCACTGTACAATGGTGTTCCCTGATGGCAGTGGTCTCTTTCAGCAGAATAATGTATCCTGCCACACTGCCAAAACTGTTCACGAATGGTTTGAGAAACATGACAAAGAGTTCAAGGTGTTGCCTTGGACTCTGAATTCCCTAGATCTCAATCTAATTGAGCATCTATAAATGTAAGTCAAGCTGTCTGTAAGTCGAGGGTCCACTGTACAATGGTGTTCCCTGATGGCAGTGGTCTCTTTCAGCAGAATAATGTATCCTGCCACACTGCCAAAACTGTTCACGAATGGTTTGAGAAACATGACAAAGAGTTCAAGGTGTTGCCTTGGACTCTGAATTCCCTAGATCTCAATCTAATTGAGCATCTATAAGATGTGCTGGAACACTAAATCTGATCCATGGAGGCCCTACCTTGCAACTTGCAAGACTTCAAGGATTTACAGCTAATGTCTTGGTGCCAGATACCATAAGACACGTTCAGAGGTCTGGTGCAGTAAATGCCTCAATGCATCAGAGCTGTTTTGGCAGTACCACAGTTCAAAAGCATCAATTCTTCGGTGGTCAGCCTTCTTTATGGTCTAGCTCTCACTTCCATACATCACTACTGGAAAAACCACAGCTTTGACTATGCTGACCTTTGTTGACAAGGTGATGTCTCTGCTTTTTAAGATGCTGTCTAGGTTTGTCATCGCTTTCCTCCCCAGAAGCAAGCATCTTTTAATTTCATGGCTGCTGTCACCATCTGCAGTGCTCATGGAGCCCAAGAAAGTAAAATCTGTCATGAGTTTATCTATAGCCTATTAATATACCATAACGATGTACAGTGAAGACCAAAACATTAATGTTCCATAAAAATGAAATTATTTTAAGTGTTTTGAAGAGAGTTGTGTTTATTTGAACATTTTTAAATGCATTGAAAATCCTTCAGTACAGTCGCAGGGACATGTTTAAGGTTTGTACAAGACAGGAGGCAGTTGGATACCCTAGAAAGTCAGATTGGGGCCAGACCTGAGATAAAATCTGTCTCCATGACACAGTCATATTATTTTCTTAAGCCGGTGCCAACTTTCATAAAATCAAATAATTTTAGAAACATAGGAAGTGCCAAGCTGTAACTGGTGACATGTCTGTGTGCTTTTTAAATGTATTAGTTTGTAATTATAAATCTTAAATATGAAGGCAAAGCCCATTAGTTGAGAACTTGAAAAACAATGAGATAATCTTAAATTATGCCAGCTCAAAAATATGTTTTGCGTTTCTAATACTTCTAATTGTCTTTCAGAATGTTGAAATCAGTTCTTTCAGATGCACTGAAAGAACAATATAGTTTGAAAAATGTGGAAAAAATCAGTACAGGATAACTTTCTGTTATGTTAACAAATATACAGAAACTTTGATTAATATGAAATTAAATAATATTTTGAATAATCTATTACAGTATCTTAGTTTTGAGATACTTTTTTGTAGCTTATCTGTGAGCCTGAAGCTACATTGACCCTCTTTAATATTAATGTACTCAACTAGAAGACACTGTTCCTCTCTCTCTGATTAATGCTGTCTGTCAATTATTTACAGATCCTGTGGTTTTGTGGAAGTTCCCCGAGGACTTTGGAGACCAGGTTAGAAACACAAGATTGATCCTTTAAAAATGACAGATTAATAAAAATAACAAAAACAATAATAATTTCAGCATCCTCTGCCTTTCTACTCCTTTCTAACACTTTCCTATTCAACTGAAGAAAGGCAGATGGCTGATGATAGCAGAAAGAGAGTCTTCACCAGCTGATTTGATCATTAGAATGTGTTTCTGGCAGGAAGCGTCACACACCGTGTGTTAGCTGCTTTCATGAATTTATCACTTTTTTAAAAAAATCTGGAAGGATATTATGACCAAACACCACTGATGTTTATTGTTCTGTAGTCATGAATACATTCCCATGGGGAAAAATGCATGTGATGAAAATTATAACAAAATGTATGACACTCCTGATAATGTGAAGTGCTGGTTTTGGGCTTGTGTATTGTACATTGTTGGTGGTATCACAGCATTCGTGAAAATGTTCACACATATGCCAGAGCTATTGTGGTATTTTGACATATAAACAGTCTAAGCAGAAACTAGTTACTTCAGTAAACAGGTGATTTTCTTATAACTACTGATGTTTTAGTCTTCACACCCAATGTTCTGGTGGTAGGGTGGGGCAGGTAGAGAGGTTTTTATTTACTGCATTTGTCTTATTTTTCAGAATGTCACACACTAAACCAGTGGTCCCCAATCTTGGGCCTCCAGATGTTCTTGGATTGCAACTCCCAGAAGCCTTCACCACCACCTCTGCTGGCCAGGATTTCTGGGAGTTGAAGTCCAAGAACATCTGGAGGCCCAAGGTTGGGGACCTCTGCACTAAACAGAGAAAAAAACAGTATAAATACTCTTGAGTACTATTTTGATGTAGCATTTTAGAGCATGAATTAAGCCTAGCCTTTCAGAAAAAAAAATGCATGTCCTAAAATTCTGAACACAGTTTTGTACAGGGATTGAATGGACGTATCAGCATCTAATAGGATTGGCCTGTTGTTGATAGCAGAACCTGTAAAGGTGGATTTTTTCCTCCCCCCCCGCAGCTCCTGGTGCTCTCTTAAAATCCATCCTGGAAATCCTTAGTGCAGATTTTCAAGGGACATGGAGGACTGCAGGGGAAGGAAGAAGTCCTGTTGGGCTAATGGATAACCACTAGCATGGGGATGCATTTGGGCCAATGAACCTGTTGCACAGAGATATATAGTGTTCTGTTTCTTACCACAAGGGCCAATGCTGGTAGGAAGTAGATTGAAAGCTAAATGGCCAGTCTTGTTTTGATTGGGAGCAGTGTTTGCTGGTGTGTGTATTTGCATGATGTCATCTGTGTTTGTGCATATCCACACATATACACTCTCCACCCACCTCTGAGAAAACATCATGGGGTCCTGCTGCTGGTTCTTCTTCTCCTTCTTCTAGAAAGTTATAAGGAGTAGAAAAGGTAATTACATTGAGCAGGGGTTGGACTTGATGGCCTTATAGGCTCCTTCCAACTAAATGAGTCTATGATTTTATGAAGAACGATCCTTCTTATTATGTGGTGAAATACTATAGTAGTAATTTTGTCTTTGGATGTGTGAGATGTAAGTTCACTTGCCTTTTCTCTGTAAAGCTCATGAGGGAGTAAGTCATTAGTAACACCCTATGTCTCACTTAGCTGTTCAATTAAATTAAGGCAAGAGGGCAGACAGCAACTTGCCCTGATTTCTTAGGATAGGGGCAAGAGAAAAATGTGAATAAATATAATAAGAGGACGGACTTGAAGAGAAACTATCTGAAATTAATAACAAGCTACATGCTAGAAGTAAATATGTTACTGAGAGAAAATTTTGGGATATGTTGATGTGGCTGAGTGAATAGCATTAACTAAGTTGACTTGTTAATTGATAAATGAATATTATAAGTGAACCAAATGAGATTCTTTTTTAGAATCCTTAAAAACAAAGCTTGATTTGTGTTCTAAAAGATGTGTTCAGTAATTCTCGATGACAAGTTCTGCACTGATAACCATGTTAGAGTGGTGACTTCAGGTTCTCAACAATAAATATTGATCTAAATATTGGTTATCTTTGTTATATCCTTAGAGCAGGAGTCACCAAACTTTTCACATGGAGGGCCACATAATATATTTTTTATATTGTTGATGGCCAAAGGAATGCATGTGTATGTACGTGTGCGCACTCCCACTCCCCCACCTGCCCAAATGCGTGCACTCCCCCACCTGCCCGCACATCCGCCTGCACGCGTGAACGCACTCCTGCATGCACTCCTGCCTGCCCACCCACACCCACGCATGGGCTGCATAAAAGACCAGGTGGGCTTGATGTGGCCCATGAGCTGTACTTTGGAGACCCATGCCTTAGAGGTTTCTTATATACAGGACTTTTCATCCTAATCTTTACTTAATAATTATAATACCCCGAATGTGAGTATATATTGAAATTTTGGTTTCCAAAGAAATATATGAAATATTAAAGTTACATTTACGAACATGTCCCAAAGAAGTGCTTTTATCGATGTTTAAGAGTGAGCAATGGATTTGGACAAGAAAATAACTGATTACAAATTTAGTAACACTGGCTAAATTAATAATAGCAAAGAACTGAAAAATTTGATGTGATCTCCAATTAAATGAATGGTATAAAGAAGTATGGAATAGAGCTATCAATGATAAGCTAAAGTATAATATTAAAGTAAGGGAAGGAACAACAAATAACAATACAGTTAGCAATATTTGGAGAGAATTTATTGATTTTGTATTAACAAAGGGGAAGGGTTGTGTATCCAATGTATTTTTGGAAGAGGAACAGGGCCATGTAGAGTGAAGGAATACAGTATATCTCCAATGGTCCCAGTGTGGGGGTGGACACTGGGTTGTATATGCAATAACTTAGTTGTTTTTTAGATTTGGTTATTTTGTATGTTATTTGTTGATTTTTATTTTGGTTAGTTTGTAATTTTTGTGTTTACTTTAATTAAAAATAATAATAATTGTAGCCTCTAACACACACATACTTACACACATAGAAAGGGGACCATTAAGATCTGTGGCTGTTCTCCACTGACATATAGTCTGCCACATTATATTTTTTAAGTTCAACTCTGGCTGCTTAAATTTCTTTGCAAGAGCAGCTTGATTTTTAAAGGGGTATAATCTTGGAGCACAAGCTACTTTTACTTTGAAGCTTAGGAGCATGCATGAAACCATCACTTTCTCTCTTTCTTTTTACCTCATCTCCCATGGAGTGGAAGAAGAGTATAGGTATGCCAGAATTTTGCTGAGAAAGACTGTATGTTTTCTTCTAATGCTTTTAGATCCCTGGAAATAATAAGAGAATATGCAAAACGTTCCCATCAAATATCTTGCATAATCTTGCTTCTTTCCTTTAACTTCTTTTTGATTGCTGCTTCCTGAACTGTTTTTATTGAAGAACACAGTTTGGCAATTTAGGAACCAAACAGCATCTTCAGTATGGCTCAGTGGCTACCAGTTGTCAGCTTAAATTTTACAGGAGATAATTTTTTGAGACCTAGCATCTCAAAATGAAGATTAGCTCATTGAATCAGCGTGGATTTGGTGAGTCAGTGTTTATGTAAATTTCATTGATTCAGTGATCCTACTCTAGTTGTGATCTGTTACTGAATTTTAGCCACTAAATGACTAGATGAAGATCTGTGACTAAATCCTAAGCAAAAATATATAGAAAACATTGCAGTTTTTGAGGAGATAAAGACCTCTGCTATATTAAATGGAAAACTGAAAGTATCCTTATTGGTCCCATAATATGTTTCAGTTAAATTCATTGGATTAATCAGAATTAAGTTGGTTGTGATTGTTTTTAGTTATGTATTGTTTTAGTTATATGTTTCAATGGTGTTCTTTCTCTCTTTGTTTTCTATTAAGTAATTTAAAATAAAAATGAAGTAAAAGTATAGAAGAAAGAGTAGTTAAATCATTTTCTCTTAACTAGCTGTACTCCTTTACTCTCCCACACTTGAAATTAAGAAACAGTGATGTTAACATTTGTCTCACTCACAGATTAAAATACAATACCTCTCTTCAGAAACAAAGCACTTAGCAAAACATAGCAAGAAAACATAATTCATTCTCTTCCATGCAAGAATCCATTTTTAGCTTTCATTCTTCCAAAGCTCTCCACAAAATTTGATTCATCTCCACCTCTTCCTTTCTACCTTACAAACCTTTCTTTCTTGTTATAAACATTCTTTTCTTGTCTGTTCTCTCCATTCTTCTAATATAACTTGTGCCAGGAGCTCACTAGGAGTCTGTTTCTACTCTGTTTCCCCGAAAATAAGATCTAATCTGAAAATAAGCCCTAGTATGATTTTGCAGGATGCTTGTAATATAAGCCCTACCACTAAAATAAGCCCCAGTTAAGTGAAACCCCACCCTCCACCATTGTGCAGCAACCAGAAGAAGATGACATGACTGTATTTGAAGAAATGTAGATTGTTGTACTTGAAAAAAGTAAAACATTCCCTGAAAATAAGCCCTAATGCATTTTTGGAGCAAAAATTAATATAAGACCCTGTCTTATTTTCAGGGGAACACGATAAAACCAGATTGGACACTTGGAAAATGGAAATAAAAGATTCTTTGAGAATAACCTTTTCCTTAGATTTTCCTATGTCCATAGAAGTTCTGTTTGGGATTCAATAGCACAGCCTTGGCTATGATTTCAGTATACTGTAAGCACTACCCTATTACTCCACAAGAAAAAATCCCCTGCCCTTCACTAACTTCTAGTACCCCAGTTGATAAAATAACATGTCTTTTCCCAGCTTACGAGCACTGAAGGGATTTTAAACAAGTAAACAAAATTTCAAAGATTATTGTGATATAATTCATTGAAGTGATGAATTGAATACTTCCCTTGCTCAAACATTCAACTCTGCAAGTGTCCATAATCTCTTTATTTCGCCAAATATCAGTAACTGGAATAGTAACTGCCAATAGTAATTTGTTGTTGATTTTGTGTGGCAGTAAGCAGTTTCTCGATTCTCAAGCCCCTGCTTTCAGGG